TTTAACTTCTCACTTTATGGTTACTTTTCCACATCAGATCGCCTGTGAGCTTTCTCTGAATATCTGCTTCTCTATATCTTTTGACTGAAGATTTTTCCATTTTTGACTATCTTGTTTCTTCCTCCACATCTAGTAGAGCAACTGGAATGTCCCAAGGCCCTAGCAAAGTTATCTGGCAGTCGGGTCACGGAATGTTGAGCAGTTTACTGATCCTCATAAAGGTTGAGAACAAACAACGAGCATCAATCAGTTACACGCCATAAAGAGACACATTTTGTATTGGTCTCATCCCTTTTTTTACCTATTCTCACTAATACATTTTTGTCATAAGACGGTGTTTTAGCTACGAAGTCATCAAAGTAACCAGACTACCTGGGTACGACAAAAGGGCAATTCATGATAGGCATTGACTGCGATATAACTTTGATATAGGTCGGGAGGTCAAGACGCTTCTGTCCGACTTGAGTACGCCCAAAAAATCAATACAGACCACCTACGTTGATGACCTACAACCTTGAGTTGAGTTCATGAGAGTCATTTGTCTAGTATGTATGAAAAATAGTCTTTTTAAGAGCCTAACAGAGGGAAAGAACACTGAATTCTTGAGACTGATAACATTGGTTTTCTGAAGACTACCAATATATCATTCTGCCATGCTTACATTCACCGTATTCCAAACTGCGATAGTATTTCCCTACTTCAGTTATTGCTGATTGTTGTCTATTGCTTTTCTTGATAAATGTCGTCAACTGACCTTTTTCCGTCTTTTCCTTCTCCAGACCTCACTTGTGATACTTTCTCCGTTCCGGTAGTAAACTAAGTACTACCTAGATAGACGTGAACTGATACAAGTAAGAAACTACCAACTGGTTTTGTTTCGTGCTACTTCAGCGCTGACTTTGCTTCAATATTTCTTAGCCATGTTGGAGTTGTGAAAGACTATTCTAGCGGACCAAAGCAAGTTTAACAGTGCTGATAGTCAACGAACCGTGACAAAGGTAAGTTAAATGTAACTGTGATTCATCTAAAAGAATGCGATCACAAACAAGTTTCAATGATGTTTGCACAATATTCTTCCCATTTAAAAAGACTGAGTAGCATGTAAAAGAATATTAAATTGACATCGAAGTCAAAAGGTAAGAATAAAAAGTGAAATGTATAAACACCGAATCGAGGTACAGCACATTTGGTAGGGAACTCCTGGCTATGTATTGTGCTGTACGGCATTTCCAACACTATATCGAAGGCCGTGAATTCACTCTTTTCACCGACCATAAACCGCTTACTTTCTCGTTAAGCTCTCCTTCTGACAAGTACTCTCCCCGTGAGTCTCGACAACTGGACTACATTTCGCAGTTTACTTCAGATATTCAACATATTTCTGGAGCAAACAATGTAGTTGCAGACGCCTTATCTCGCATAACTTCCTTGAACAGTTTCCAAGGAATCGACCTTCTTAAACCCGCCGAGCTTCAAAAAGTAGACACTGATCTTCAGCACGATTTATCGTCCACAACCCTAAAACTACGCATCAAACAGATGGGAACAGGTAAGGAAACTTTACTGTGTGACACATCTACAGGTAGGGATCGCCCAATCGTGCCGAAACATTATCGACGCAATGTCTTCAATACATTGCACAAACTTTCTCATCCAGGTGTCCGTGCAACCATCAAGCTTATAGCAGAACGGTTTTGCTGGCCTGGCATGAATAAAGACGTGAGGGAGTGGGCACGCTCCTGTGTAAGCTGCCAAAAATCTAAGGTTATCAGACACAATAAATGTCCCTTAGGCTCGTTTAAAACTCCCGATGCTCGTTTCGACCATGTTCATCTGGATTTGGTAGGACCTTTACCAGATTCAAATGGATACTCTTAACTCTTAACCTGCGTAGACCGTTTCACTCGATGGCCAGAAGCAGTACCTATCAAGGACATCACTGCTGAAACAGTGGCCCGCACATTCGTCGAACGATGGGTAGCAAACTTCGGCTGCCCTTCAACCATCACTACAGACCGCGGACGTCAGTTTGAATCTGAACTTTTCCGTCGTCTGACCACACTTTTAGGAATCACTCGCTTCCGAACGACCGCCTACCACCCACAAGCAAACGGGTTGGTAGAACGTTTTCACCGACAACTAAAAGCTTCACTATCAGCTGCAAACGTTTCACAGTGGACCGACGCTCTTCCACTCGTCTTACTAGGTATCCGCAATGCAGTAAAAGCTGACATTGGATACACTGCGGCTCAACTCGTTTATGGAACGACACTTCGACTTCCAGGAGAATTCGTGGATCTTTCGTCCTCCACTCGACCTCAATCAACTGATGTATTCGTTCAACCTGACTTACGATATTGTACACACGTTTACGTTCGTCGAGACTCACATCGACGACCTCTCGAATCAGCATACGAAGGATTCTTCAAAGTTGTTCAACGCGAACCCAAGTACTATATGGTCGATAAGAACGGAACCAACGATAGTATCAGCATCGGTGGCCTCAAAGCAGCGTATTTAGAAGGAAATCCTATTCACGTCGATTTCGCTTCGGTACAATCACACGACACAAGTCCCACCATTATAATACCTCGGCAGACAGCCAACACACACGATGATGCTTCGGCATTATCAGAAAATAACTAAAAACAACGCGTTCTGGAAGAAAAGTAAGATTTCCAGAACATTTGAACGATTATGGCACGTAAGATACTAGTTGGCATTTTGTATTGTCTCCATTTTCCTTTGTACTATGTATAATAAAAAAAACAATTTTAATATACTTATATATTTGTATTATTTCAAAAAACAAAACAAAAACCACATTATAAAAATCCTTTTTGTACGCTAGTACGTGTGGATGAGTTTATTTTCCATTTTTTACGCACGTACGAGTGTATGTCGACACGCACTTAAATATTTTTTTCTTTTCTAGGTCGGCTGGAAAAGACAACAAAAAGAACGATGAAGTTTGCGAGAAACCGAAATTTTCACTGTACCTTTTCCTATATTGTACTTTATGGTCCCTTATAGTAAGGAAAGACGGCCAGACGCTGCTAAACCTAGCCAGCTATCAGAAGAGTGTTTACCAGCGACAAACTCGTTGGGTTTAAACTTTTGGCTGATCACGTCTTAGGGTTATCAGTACCCCACTGCGAAGGGAGTGATCTGAAGCGGTAAACAAATCCCCAAAATGAATAGCTCTGTAAGTTTTTGACATTGGATGCTGACCACATTAATTTCAATGGACTCACCTAGCTGAAGGCGCTCGGTCATACATCCACACCAGATCACGAATGGGAACGGCGTGCTCAACAACCCTTGCAATTGTTAGCCAGATTAAATCAGACGGTTCTTGACATATTGATAGCCCATCAAATATATCTTCTAACCTCCTCGCTTCTGTCTTTTGATTTCACTTGGTGGTACGATTCATATTAGATGTTACTGGTTAAAGAGTTGTCAAACTCCGAATACCTGTGGCATTTTCAGTTTTCTTGAGCTCAAAATGGAGAACTGGCGTTAAATATATTAGCCGACGTGACAGTGGAACTTTCTTAGAATTAGATTCTAACTACCCGAATTAAAATCGGCATTACATATATTTTCTACAATCCAAGTGCTCACTTATGTTTGAGATTAATATAACACACTTTGAAACACATTACAGGCTTCAGAAGACGTTAAACATAGCCGTGAAACTTGTGAAATATAAACTAATCACAGTCAGCTTATATAAGTCCAAATAACTTGTAATCAAATGCACTTCTGTTCTCACACAAATTTATTCCCTCACCGAAACCGATGTTATGTTTCTGTTTTATTACGGTTGAATGATCGTCGTTGAACTCCCGAATTAGGTTCACTATCACTCTGTCTACGTTAAGAAGGCTAACTGACAAGAAAGACCATAATCAGGAGTCATTATAGTGATCTGAGAAACGAATCCCGCAAGATTATTGTCACGTATGGCTCCAGTTCCTTTAAGTACCTGTGATACAACCATGACTGTCAGTGGACAATTGTAGTAGGGGAGCATTCCGTCATTTATGCGTTTGTAGTCTATCCTCTGTGTGGGATACAGAGTGAATTGATGAGACAAGCTGTTGTTTTATGAAATAACTATCTTGAAATTAGTTGCTATCTTACTTTTTCATTGTGTCTTTCCGGTGCCTCACTTTTCAAGTAGTACCAAATTTTCCTCTTTACAATGCATTAAAACAGAATGAAAACTCATACATCTGTCTATACTTCACATATTTTGACATTTGGTGACCAGCTGGATTTTCTCGATGAGAAAAAAGCTGAATTGCTACTATACCAAAATAATTCACTTAAATGGCTTCATGATGGACTAATTTCAAAATATCCGTCAAACTCTACAACTTTATTTTGACTAAGAACCTAAACTCATTTGGTTGTTACCATGATATTGGAGATACTGGAGCGTATTCAACGGCGAGCCACGAAATCAGTTCGAGGACTCAAATTTAAACCTTATGAAGAGGGCCTCCATTCACTTAACCTTTACCCACTAGAGTATAGAGGTCTTAGAGGTGACCTTCTAATTGCTTATAGTATCCTTTACACTTCTGGACATCCTCTCAAACACCTACTTAAGCTTAGTTCCAACACTAACCTAAGAGGTAACACCCAAAAACTGGAGACACAACATAGCAGAACGGAATGTAGACACAACTTCTACTCATTAAGAGTTGTCAAAGCTGAAATTCGCTGCCGGCCGAGCTAGTCCAAGCCACTTCACAGGAGTCCTTTTAGAGGCAACTTGATCTATTCTTAAGGACTAAGGATAGTATCGCACTATGATTTATCAATTTCTTTTCCTGTTTTCTTGTTAACATACCTAGGTTCCTGCCTGGAGGATTTGGTGATCCCCTGCTACTAGACACTGAAGCCTGTTAAGCGAAAGCTTCTTCTATTCCGTCCACAACCATTTGAACCATTTGAATGATATTGGAAATTGTAGAACGGCACAAAGGCGGCTATTTCAATAGTCAGGCGCTTAAGGGCTGGCTTGATTTATAAGTATATCTGGCACTGGTTCTTTCTTTAATAGTGTACCCAACCTTCGAAAACTCTAGTGTTAGTGTCAATTTGTTTGCTACTGGACCTTAGAGACGTCCAGTTAAAAAGTAGTCAGGATGGTGTCAGGCCTTCCTCAAATGGGACTTCTTGGTGCGGTGGATGAAGATGAACAAGCACCTCGTGGAAATATTTTAAAACTTTGGGGAACCCACAAACTATGAATTTGAACACAATGATTTATACGAACATTGCTCAGTCCCCATACTTCAAAGCCAACTTGGTCGAGCTGAAAACGTACCATGAAGTTATCGATGAAATATATTACAAGGTTTGATTGAGTTTTCATCGCCCTATATTGAGCTTCAGGTTGAACATTTAGAACCATGGGAACGTGGGAGTCGACGTATAGGGGGTCAAACAGGTATGTGTGGTGGGGTACGTGGAGTGGGTGCTGGTGGTATCGTGTCAACGGCTTATTGTCTTTTGTATAAACTTTTCACTTTAAAGCTTACAAGAAAACAACTCAAAGGCCTCCTCGATCACCCAGATTCTCCATACATACGTGCGCTGGGCTTCATGTACATAAGGTGATTGCATGTTGTAATCCAGACTAACTCTATTACAGATATTGCATTCCCCCTGAGGACTTTTGGTGGTGGTACTCACCTTATTTGAGCGATTCTGAGGTAAGTTTGGAAACGTTAAGTTATCAGCTTCGTAGTACTTCCTGATTCACTCGGGTTGATGGTCTTTTCGGGTCAGTCGTCTAGCCTATGTTACTTGTAAGGAATTAGATGTTTTTTGTGTTTTTTCCCCTGGATTACGTGTTACTTTTTATCTTTTAGGAACTAGATGTGAAGGCAGGAGGTGGTTGCATTATGACGATAGGGAATATGTTAGAACACTGGTTAACTAAACTAGATTGGTTCTCTACCCTATTTCCACGTATTCCTGTCCCGGTTCAAAGAAACTGGAAGAAAAAATGAGACTTCGCAAATGTCAGGCCCTTTTGGAAGTTGGTTCTGTTCAGGAAAAGGAAAGTAAGAGGCTCTCAGATCGAAATCGCGACGGTTCACATCATAAGTCAGGTGGGCACTCTCACAGACATGAAAAAACATAGGTAAGTGAACGTGTTTTGGATACACTACTGACTGATTACTTATTTTGGTTGACGATTTAATTTCCCTGTTACGGTGTTGCCTAAAATACATATGGCTGTCAGCATTCACCAGACATTCTAAATGTCAGACACTATATTGTAAACGTCTAGTCTATAAATATCAGTAGGTCCTGTCACTGTTCACCAACTTAGGTTTCTATATCCCATAATTCGTTTGAAGGAACGACCCTAAGATGTACATCACTCAGCCCTGGTTCTAAACGTGACCTCTGGTATCAACACCGCAGACCATATTGATACCAGCCATCCTTGTAGAGGTTCAGTATAATACTGCTCTCTTTCGGATCACTGATTTGGATTCCTACTTTGTTTTGGCCATAAGGGATTCTGTTTTATTGAATACAAAAAGGTGAACAAAAACTTTTTACAGCTCATCTCAATGGAAAGGTAATATCCATACAGCTGTTAATAGGATCCTGATATTCGCCAACTGAAAATGTTAAAAAATTAAGTGGGTTTTGAAAACTACCAAATTGATTGCTGCACGAGTACTTGCCTTGGCAGCCTTAGTGAATGACAAAAAGCAAAGAACGCAAACTGAAACTAACTGAAGGTTCGCGCGATAATCGTAAAGGAACTAAAATAGAAGAGATGTATAAAGCAATGGATATAGATAATGGTGTATAAATACATGAATTTCAGCGAATTTATTATCAAACTACAGCCGTATATATATGCGAGATTTTTTTATGTTAAAGTACTAGTCCCATGAGGACATATGAACAAGGAATAACCATGATGACGCAATCGAAAGATTATTATGCTGGATTACGTAATATGAATAATAACAATAGATGTTAGTAACGAATTTAAATGTGCAGTAAGATGATTAAAATGTTTTTGTTACAATAATTAAAGGTATATAACTTTGTGACTCAACAGTGAGACAAGTATTGGGAAGTTAACTGTTAGCGAAACAATTTGGGAAAAGCTGAATCCGTAACCCACCATTACCAAGTTACTTCAGTGGGAGATGGGGTTAGTCGAATTAATATCAATGTTTTAGTAACATTTTCCTCCATGAAATCTGCACAGTAGAATATAGTAGTTACCTTGGTATTTTACTCTTAAACTGTGAAACTTAGTTGTCATTGCCGTTTGAAATCGAAATATGTATTTAACTTTAATTCCAAAAGTTTCATACATTCTTTAACTAATAATTTTGTGCAGCCCGAATGAACGGGTTAAGATATTACTTCGTTCCAGGGCAAAGTTACTGAGTGCTTACTGGGATCAAGATTTTGTTATCTACGAAGTAAACATAATTGCTTGTTTTACTTGAGGGAACTAGTATGTGTCATGTGTGGAGCAATTTATTTTCGTGTACGCATTTCTGCTTATTCAAAGTGTTAATTTTCGTCTTCAGGTCTGATCGTGATAAACGCGGACATCATTCTCGACGGTCTAGATCTAGATCACGTGAACGTCGTCATTCGAAAACCCCAACCGAACGAGAAAGTTCATTTGAACGAGATTTAAAGCGTGCACGAGAGAGACAAGAACGTGATCGACGTAGAAGTCGAAGTTAGATTAACTGATTCTTAATTATGTGTATTTAATGTCCTCATTTGTATTTAATTGATTGATAAAATTCCTTACTTTTGTTTTCATTGTATTTGTACTGACTAAAAACAATAAAAACTGTATTATAATTTGTTTATTGCTGTTAGTCATCTCACGGACCTACTTTAGTAATTCCTTTGCACCTACCTTGTATTGATTGTGTTAAGTTTACGGTAACTACTAAACATTTGTTTACTTCGCCACACACTGTACCACCAACTTTCTTCAGGCATTTCATAGTCCTACCGGTCCAGTTACTCATTGCATCCGAATTCAGAACGAACCGTGAAACTAATGGTTCGATAATTTGTGATAAATTTTGATTATTTCCATAATGCATGCCCTATTCAACCTCAACGTCCTTCCTGATTTCTTCCTCACCTTTAAGCTAGCTTGATCTCTGCCACAGTTAATTATTGCTGATGGTCTCCGATCAGTAGATTTGATGCATCTTAAGTAGACGGCTGTTTGTAATAACCTGAACCTTTTTGGTGATGGTTGTAGTAGTTCTCCAAGTCTTAGCATTGTATGACAGAACCGTTTCAACGTTTTGTGTTGAAAATTCTCACTTTTGTCTTAAGTGATTGTCTTTTTAGGTCCCAAATATTCTTCAGTTGTAGGAATGCTGTTTTTTTGCTAGTCCGTCCCCTCACATCTACATCAGTTCCTCCTTGTTTATCAATGATATTACCCAGGTACGTAAACTTTTCCACCCCTTTTAGAGCTACACCCTTGAGAGTTAATTGGCTGGTGCTTACTGTGTTTTACTTTAGGATGTCGATTTTTTCTTTGTGAATGTTGAGGCTACTGCTGCGGAAGCCGCTGCTGCAGTTTATCTTTGTCTGCATTTGTTGCTGTGTATGGGATAAAAATCCCAAGTTGCCCAGCTGCAACCAAGGTATCCACCATATTCCTTGCTTCTACTGGAACGTGGAATTCTTCATAATCCAGCCAACAACCAGAAATACAAAGGGTGACAGGTAATCTTATCTGACATCAGTCTTTACTTGGAATGCATCTTGTGTGGCGCATATGTATTTGGTGCCCATTTGTACCAATATTTGTGTTCAAACAAATAAAAAATAATAAGCTGCCGTCCATGCGCTATTTTGCGACTCATTCCTTCTTAGGAGTCCAATATGATGGTGATGGTCTTATCAGGTACTCTATAGTGTCGAATAATCCACAAAGTTTGCATGTCTACGCCGTCGAATATTCTCTCCTAATCAAAGAAGTTGAGCTTCATTCAGTTGATTACTCAACAATAGTCCGAAATGTTTTGTGGTCGGTACATGATCGGTCTTTACACATAAATATTCTAGTGCCTCGTTGTACCAATTTTTGTGTTTGAATAAATAAATAAGTGTATCGTATAGTTGTCTCATATTCCTTTCCCTGAAACTTTCCTTGCTGTTGTTAGGTTCTCTACATATTCCCACATGTCAAGTGTAATGTTTTTCTTCACTCGTTTGCTTGCTTCTGTACATTCGGCCTGTTTGCTGGCTCTCTCTTCTCTTGTGCAGCTTTTGCTGCTTAACTTAATTTTTCTGTCTTGTGTCTTGCTCAGGGTACCAATGGAGATGTACTCTTTATGCTGGCTCTTCTTTAAGCTCAGCACCTAGTACGCCAAAGTTATTGTTTCTTTCATTCATTCCTAGTTCTCATTGGGGTTTCTTCTGGTAGCTCTTATAAGGTTTGGAACTTGTTGCTGAGAGCTATCCTGAATTTTATCAGCTTGCTAGCATATCAAAGTTTGTGTTAAACGTTTGTAGTGCTTTCTGTCAAGTCGTCCAATGCTTCTTTAGCCTCAGTTTCAACTTTCCCATTATCAGGTGATCTGGAACTGTATTAGCTTTCCCCATTGTTTTTAAGTCTTCCATGGGCTTTCCGGACTTTATGTTGATTCATATGTGACTGATGTGGTTCTCTGTAGTCTGGTCCGGTGAAACCTCTAGCTTTATTTATGGGTTTGTAGAGAAAATGGTACTACCCATAACCATATCGTTTAATGCACATGGATTTCCCGATCTCTCACCATTCTTGTTCCCCCTAGTTCATATCACCCTGTGATATATTCTTACCTGGTATTGTCCATCTCGACCTTGCTGTTTAGGTCCCTCACTAGTATGGTCCTTCCGGTCCTTTACATTGTTCGGACATTCCATTTACCTATACTAATTTTGCTCTGGTTGTCAGAACGAACGTCGACCTCATATATTTTGGAGAATCTCGGCTTTTTCTATGAGCGTCATAACTCTTCTATATGAAGATCCACCAGTTACCAGGGTAGGGTCCAAGTTATTTTTTCTGGTTAGTTTTTTTCTAACAATGTTCTGTTTTATAGGATGGGGTTGTTAACCCCATGCTTGGGACCGGCAGTAAATCTAAAAGAGCTCCAGGCGGTCTGTGTTCTGTAGCATAAAGGGCCTCATGGTGACCAATAGTGATCACCTGATCAAACATGGGAATTCCAGGTCTCAACCATGTAGGGTTGTCATAATATTTTTTCTATGAGCTAGATGCTTCGATATGTATAAATCAACATCAAAAGCATTTTCACACTCAAATTTTACTGTGTTCTAAGGATCAAATGGTCTGTAGTTTATTCATTGGTCATGTACAATACTCGTCTTCAATTTTCAGTCGTGGCATTAAGATGTGGTTAATCAATATTTTGATCTTAAGTTCTTGGGGTTCATTGGCTGGAGATGTATTTCTCATGATTTGTATGTATCAAATGTGTGATACATGAGTACGATATAGCATAGTTTTTATTCTAGTGTTGGGGATGCTGAATCCTCAAATACTGCAATTAGTAAGAAATCCATTTTAAAGTTTACATTTTATTTAAAATGAAATTTGTTCATTTTTATGAGTTATAATCCATTCGATATGAAGTTAGTTTCTTTGGTTTTTGATTAATTTTCGTTATATGGATTAATTCACTGGTTTTGTTTTGAGTGACGGTTGCTCAGTTGATGAACTCTGTCATGAATAATCGGCGGATCTAATCGGTATATAACTGAACTGATTCGAATGTAATTTAATTTTGCTGGGATCCTCTTCTTGACAAGGTTTTTCTTTCATTGTGCGGCTGATTATCGTTGAAATGTAATATTAATCCTCCGGTCTATTAAGTGTCTATAGATACCGTTTCGTGTTGGAAGAATCTCCCAGACCCTCATCATTTGAAATAAACATACCCGATCTCAATCCAGAACGTTTGGATTCATGGTCTTCAGATTAGTGAGATTTTATTATTACTCAAGATGAAGTTCCTGTTAATGGTTATTCGATTTCATGAGTCGAGTAGAACCTAAGCCTTCATGAATAATAATGTATGGATGAATAAAGAAATCTGTACTTGGTTAGATCTTGGGGTTTTTCTGGAAAATGAACTTCAGTATGTTTTCTACTGAATCAACTATTTACCTGTTATATAAACCTATTTCATGCATTCAGACTAGAACAACATAATAAATTTGACTCAGCATAAGTGTCAGTTTATTTACTAGAATTTATTTATGTAAAAACTGGTGATACCACTTCTTTACTCAAATTGCTAATATGTAGTTTAACTCATTTAGGAAGTATTTGCTTTGAACTACACTGCTACAGTGTTGACAACTTGAACGACAGCGTAAAATCCTTCTTGGTCTTCATCAATGGATTTCCTAGATAATGTTAGTTCGTAGTAGAAGCTTGCTATGATGATCTATTTAACTAAATTACCGATCATAATCGTATAATATATGTACGTACATATTCTGTGTGTTTGTAGACATACGTTATTTATCATGTGGCTTGTGGAAATTTCATTAGTTGCGCAGTCGATATGAGGTAGTGACGATAGCTGTCACAGTATATTGTAAATATTCGTCTTCCATTACTTATGAGTAGCTTGGTTTATTTGGTTTAAATAATGTGTGTGACATCTACATTCATCAGTAAAATGATATCATCAGAGAATAATGTTAATACAGATTTACTAAAATATTCTTAGATCATTTTGAATATCCATAAAAAGACTTTCTCATTATGGTGGGGGAATAAAACCACTGGCAGCTTTTATGAAATTATCATAAACTAAGTTACTTAAAAACATGACATTTTTCACTACTTAATGATCAGTCGATTGTAAATATCTCAGTCCTACAAAAAAGGTCAGTGGCTACCCGACTATTTTTTTGGTAACGTCTAAAATGTAAGATCGGGTGACAGGGGATTGAACTCATCAGAGAACGCCAGTCCTCTCAATGTTACAGGTACATTCTGCTGATGAGTGTTAAATAGCACGAAATCTAAGGTTTCATATAGACTACCTTCAACCACCACCTTACGTCTCAATACAGTGCACGGGATGTTGGGTCACTTAAACCAGTGAATTTGTCGTAACTTGGTGAACAGGATTTGATCAGAATTAAACAAACATGACGTTGGTCATTACTTAGTTATCAATCAACTGGAAATACAATACTCTATAATCTTTTTTTCACGCTCAGATGAGTGGAATCACTCTTTATATTGCTCTCATATCCTCATAAACTGGATAGTCTGATTTTAAAGGCTGCGCTACTCAGATGGATTACTTTCACAAGACGCGACATGCTTTTTGTTGTTAAACGAGGGGATTCTGCGCATGAAGTCCTAGGTAGAGTGCTTTCTCATGAACATAAAAATATATAATCTCATACATAAACAGTATACACTCACTCACATTTCAAGAATCATAGAGTTCTACTGTGGTAATATACTGCTGCATAAATTTACTAATGTTCTCACAGTTATATCTACTGACTGTTACTAAACTTCTGATGAAATTATTAATGAAATTACTAATGATGTAGTCAAACGTAGAGTTTAGATCATCCCTTGAGTTTAATCACTAAAGTTTATGAGTTAAATCCTTCCAAGTGAACCTTTTTGATACCGGCTTACTTTATAAATGAATAATTTCCATACTACAAGTAGTTTTATTGCCTAACTCAATATGGTGAAAACTGCTCAGACTTATCTCGATAGAATTCATAGATTATGGAACACGCAA